TTCCCTTGCCTCTTCGTCTCCCTCCTTTTGTTTCTTCCCTCCTTCTCCTTTTCCTTCTTGTTCTTCTCTTTCCTGTTCTTGGTCTCGTTCCTCTTCCCCTTTGTCTTCTCGCTCTTTTGTTTGGTCTCCCTTTGATCCTGCCGTCGACGCTGCGGATGACGCTTTTTCGAGCGACATGTCATGGGAGGCGTAAAAAGACCCCTTTCGATTGTGCTTAACGTGCTTGCACAGTTTGTCATGAGCTGCACTTTCAAACTGTCCTGATGCATGTGCGAGCTACCAATTAACTGCAGCATGCCCTGCTGCCTGTTTGTCGATGTTTGGAAGGAGGACGTACCTCGCCACTGCATTCTCTCCTTTCTTATGGTGTGCAGCAGCGTGCATGTAAGTACGCAGCGATGTGACAATCCCAGTTATTGTCGGACTCATCAGTTCGCTCAGTGGCAACGATGGCTTACATACGGGATGGGGCGATGCTTTCGGGCCCACAATTTTCATAGACTGTCCAATGATGCTGCCACATTCAGCTTCACACATCTGCTTCCACGATGCAGTGATTCTTTCTTGCGGATCTCTGTGCAGTGTCGCGTTCAGACCTTGCGACATATCAAATTTCTGATGAGACTGCGAATTTGTCAAGATTCTCGACTGACGCCTTTCTGTACATATCAGTTTAGGGGCATTGAGACCTGTTGGTGCCAGCTTCATCAAGTCACTTTTTCGGCATGTGAGTTCCCTGATGTAAAGGTCAGAGTTGTATAGTCCACTTTGAGTTCAAATTCTTGCTGTGCGGAAATGAATAGCTGCATTTTTGTCATGTGCATGCATGCAGTTGCAAGAGTGCTTTTTATGGCAGATGTTGGTCCAAGCTAGAGTGTATGATCACAAGATTGCCAATGTCCGGATCGCTGCTGCACTGCACTGACATAATCAGAAGTCTGGACGGAGAACAAGTCAAGGCTCTTTTTCAGATTCTGGGGGATCCGCGGCAAACAGAAGTGCTTCTTTCACACCTTCGACGTCGGATTCAGGCAGATGCGGATACCGTTGTTGCGAGACATCTTGGTACGCTTCCTCCTTCTGCTCCTCTGTCTTCTTCTCTGCCTTCCTTCTCCTCTCTTCCCGCTTCTCCCCCTCCTCCTCCTCCTCCTCCTCCTCCTCCTCCCTCCTTTCCCCCTCTTCCCCCTGCTTCCCTTCCTGCTCCTGTTCGTTTCCCGTTTTCTCCTTCTTTTTCTTCCTCCGATGTGTCTCATGGATTCGATCGCAATGAAGCTGCACAGACAATGAATGATGGATCCAACATTTCTCGAGCGGATCCTCACCGACGTGATGCATTACCCCGAAGACGTCAACAGAGTGCCAATGCTGCCCGACGAAGCAGATCCTTGAGTGACTCGCAAGTCCGTATGAGATCCCGCTCACGATCTCAATCAAGATCAAGTACATCTGTTTCACCTGGAGGATCACGTCACATTAGGTAAGACTGCTGTCTTTGTTTGCTAAAGTAGTTGCCGCGCTCTCTTCTGAATTCACCTTTGGTTGCTTGATTCGGTTGTTTGTTCTGTCAGCATGAGAATGCGAAGTATTTTGTGGCTCAATTTACAAGATGAAACGGACGGCAAGTATGGCGGCCCTACCCGCTCCTCCTGCGATGATCCGGATTCCAATAGCTGTACCTCCAGATATATGTACTGGAGGACGTGAGTTGAGCTTTTGGATTATGATGCCAGCGGATTCCACTATTGATGACTTGAAGAAGAAGCTGTGTCGGGAACTTGAGGAAGCACGGGGATACCTCCTCGTTTGAACGCTTTCCAATGATGGCAGTTCGGATACCATTTGCCGTTTACTTCATCGATCTCCCGAGTGTCTGCTTTTCCACACGCTGCCCAGCCAGTCCGATTCGTACATGGCCACACGAATCAGTGAGTTGGACTTGAGACGTTCATGCGACAATGGAACAAATGCAGCGTTTTACCATGCGATCTGAAGAGCGTATTGTGAGTGCTCTGCCCATAGATCGCAGCAGGTCAATGATTGTAGCGCATGATGCAAGGGAGTTCGTTGTCGCACTGCATAATGGACGTGAGCTCGAGCTTTCTTGAAGTCTTAGGTTTGAGTAGATGTAAGCCCTGTGGTGCCATGTAGGAGCTCTCCATGTTGAATGACAAAATGCTGCAATTTGTCAGCACAAGACGTCATCTCATCTTCTTCTTCACCTTTCCCTCATCAGACCCGCTTGAGCCTTTGGATGTTACTCTTCGACGACATGGATTCTATGCCATGCAGGATCTTGAGCAATTCGTTACCCAATGCAGAACAGAAGGTCTGGATTTTCGCATCGAGGTGTATGAGTTTTTCATTCAAGGACCATGTGTATATACGCCACTTACTTGTGAAGCTCCAGCGCTACCTCATGTCGAGGGGTATGCGTCCGTATGCAGAGAATGGTATTACTCAGTTATTCGATTGATTGGCAACCGCATCTTTCTCAATGTTCAACAGCTCTGGCGTCTCGCCCAATTACGTCATGCAACGGTGGAGTGGATTCACCATCCAAATGAAGACAGACTACGTATTGGGTCCGCGTTCATTGACGATCTCAATGTGTGTCGCCTTGTTCAGCCATTGTAAAGGTGTGAGCGGGACTTGACACGTTAATGCGACAAGGGAACAAATGCAGCGCTTTGACATGCGATCTGAGGAACGTCTTGTGAGTGCTCTGATCATAGATTGCTGCAGGAAGTGACGATACGAGACTGCACTTTTTGCCCCCTTGGGGGCCTGTTTGTGTTATCCTGCTGTACATGCGATGGTTTGCAATCATGAAGGTTTTTCATGCATCTCTATTTTCTATTTTTCGCTTTCTCCTTTTTGCATGATGCAGGGGGGCACGGCGTCAGATTCCAGACCGTGCCTAACAAAGCTACGGAATCTGACGGGAAGCAAAGGCTGATCACCCTTGTGTACCTGCAAAAAGCTGGGCCCCTGAGCCAGCAAGATTAGTGAAACAATTGGCTTTCGCCTTTTAAAGGCAGGCTTTAGGTTTGCTCATTGATTTCTTTTACCTGGCTTGCAACATGTGCGATGTGCAGTCTTGCAGCAGTCATGTCGACGTACAGTTGTCACCCACAGAAGGCAGGCGGGTCAGTGGAAGCCTTTCCAGTTGTGTGCCTGTCTGTATGTCTGTGTGCACGTACGTACATGCGTACGTGCATGGGCAGGTAGGTGGGTTGGCGGGTAGGCCGGTAGGCAGGCAGGGGCAGGTAGGCAGTTAGGCGTGTGGGTAGGCAGGTAGGCGTGTACGTCTAGGGACAGGTAGGCAGGTAGGTAGGGATGCATGTATGTACGCATACCTTTGTGTGTGTCGAAGGCCAGACGCACCGATACATCTGCTTGCGCTAGCTTTTGCCACTAATCAGATCTAATGTGCCCTGAGGCAGCGAAAGATCTGCATACTCGGCGAGGATTTTACGAGCGGGTTGCAGGAGCACTCTGGATTGGACCGGTCTGTGCTTCCTGGCTTCCTCGGAGGACGGAAAGAACATGCATTCGCACATGAAGCCAGAAAACATCAGGGAACATAGTTTCACCTGTCCGAGCCCAGATGGGCACTCGAGTCTTAGTGCCCGATCAGCCCGAAAGGACAAGGCCGCGGCCAAGAACTTTGCGAGGTGAGAAGCGTTCCAGTGCGTCTAGCAGAGGCCGGTCTGCGTAATCCTCGGTCGAGGAAAGACACGATGACTCGATGCAAGGACGGGAGGGACGGCTTCTTCGACGTCCAGTGAGGCCCCGTGAGCCACAACATGTTGGACTGGGGGCCACTCTCGGCGATGTGGAAAAGCGTGCCGCGTAATGGGGCGAGCTGGACTTTGACTTGCAGTGCAAAGCCTCCAAGACGATCTTCCCCTTGTCGGTTTCTGTGGCAGACGTTTCAGTGCGCTTATTCTGTTGGTGCTCTTCAACTCGCATTACGCCTGCGCACATGTGTGAGATAGGGCGACCCCGGAACAAAAAGATACATAAGTACGAAAGAAGTGAAGATCCGACTCTTCAGACGGGTGAGCTGCCTGTGCGAATCTGGGCGGGGCGGGATCTTTTTGAAATCTCAGTGGGGGGTGGTGCCAACGGTGTGTAGTGGCAGCTAGGGGGGGGTGGGCTGTCATTTATCCTCGCTCTTCGCTTATTGAGTTGTCTAATGTTTTTGATGTTTCATCTTTGCGATCCTCGTTCCGAGGGCAAACGCCTGCGCAGAGCCGTCGCCTCTCTGCTCCCGGACAGAGAAGGACAGAAAGAAAGGAGCGGCCATTGCGGCCATGTCAGCTCCCGTCGGATTCTAGCATGTCTTGCCTCGGCGAGGACGGGTTGATAATGGTTGATGCCTCATCATGCCCAAACTCTGCGCAGCTCTCTCCGCTTTGGGACGCTCACTCCACCCTCCGATGCCGAGAGTGGCAAAATGTTATGCACAAATTGAATGTCGTGCGGCCGGTAATTGTGCTTGAAAGTTACATGAATCACGTGTCTTAATCAAGACTGTGTTCCAAGTCGACGTGCTGCTGCAATCATCTGTCATACATGGACTGCCGGGTGCTGGTGGATGGAGCTGGTGCTCACATGGCCAGCACATGGCCCCCAGCAGCCAAAGCAAAGAACAACTGCGTGTCTCCGCATAGGGTTGCGCTCTTGGCTCGGCGAAAAAAGAGAAAGAATCGATACGGTTTCTTTCTGTCACTGGTGGGGACTGCCTGCGGCCTCTGTCCAAGGCAAGACAGATAGACAAAGACATATAGAGACAGACCGACCGACCGACCGACAGACAGTCTGAGGAGTTTGTGCAGGGAGGTTGGAGATTGCCCGCGATGTGGCGAGACACGCAGCCGTGCTGTGCTTGTGCCATATGCAAGCTGTCATTGTTTGCGCTTCGTCTTACAGCTTACTACTCGCGTCCCTCGCTGTTTGCTACTTCGTGTATACCGTAAAGAAGCTGAACTATCAAGGTTGATCTCCGCTGTGCGGACAAGGGCAACGTGCAGTCTGCCACTCTGCAGGCTGCGCCCTTGTGCTGCCAGTGCGCCACTTGCACATTGCGTACTGATGCATGCGCAGAACGACGTGCACAGTTCAGCAGCTTTGACCCGAAAGGCCTTCGTTCGGCGGGCCGATTCGCCGCAGCCCAAGTGACTCCTTCAAATCAAAGGACGACATGACTCTGCGGCAGCATAAGCCAGATGGAGCAGTTTTTCGAATGTCTCGGCACAGTATCGCCTCGGCTTTTGGAGAGAAGTCATTGTAGTAGTCTGTAGCCATGCCACGCAGGAGGAGCTTCTCTCAGCTAGAAGACACCAGAAAGCTCCTTTGTTGTTCTCTTAAAGCAAAGGGAACTCTTCTGTCAGTGAAAACCCTCATTCATCGCAGAGAAGCATAAGAAGCCCCCTTAATCCCGTACCAGCGGCCGAACCAAGAGAGCCCTACAGTCTGGATAGCAAGATAAGAAGATTGATCCCTTCTTTCCCAGCAAGTATGGGAGCACCTGTGTATACATGAGAACTGCATTATTATATCTGAAACACACTTGGTCATAGTCTAAGGTACACCGAGCTTCCTTCCTACATAACGAGTAGAACACATGTTTTTCTTTTCATGCCAGAACAGATTTCCGCCACACAAAAAACACATCCCTGCCATTTTTCCGCTTGCCAGCAGCAAGACTGAAGGCTGCCGTCCTTCCATCAGTGAGTCAAGATGAACCGTTTTCTATGAAGCAACCTCATGTCCTTTGTGTTTTCACTTTGGGGGGGCTAAAGACAACTTCATATCTTGAATACTCCTAGGAAAAAAACTCGCGGTTCCTTCACCTCAGCATGACAGGACTCCGTTCCCCTACATACTATGAGCGATGGACACGATCGTTCCTGCCATCTGCAACAACATGAACTAGCCGCTAGCTAGCCCCTGTGTTCTCCTCATAGCCTCAACGAGGGCCTCAACTGCAGTTCTGCAAGTTGATGCATAGATCCCTTGCATCTTGAGCATGCCTGGTCTGAATGAAGTTTCTTGCTCTGTTCGATGAAGGAAGCATTAGTATCGGAGCAACTTGAAAATTCAGGGTTGATGGTTGTATTTAAAAGACAGTGAAACTAGCGCGGCTCCTTCATCTCTGAAAGTCTGAGAGGCGCTCTTCTCAGCTGTTCTATCTCCTAACAAGATGAAGCTCACTGCTTTTCAGTATTCAGACTTTTTCGTTTTCCCAACCACTGGAAGAAGCAACAAAGCTCTTGTTTGTTCCCAGAGCCCCTTTATCTCTGTTCAAGAAGGGGCGGGGTGCTTGTTTTTGGCCAAATTTCATAATGAGGAGACGTCATAGTTTCTAAACAGGATGCAAGGCTAAATGAATTTGCGACTCCGTAACACTCTCTAAAGAAGCCCCCCCCACACGCACAGAGACGTTTCAGTAGTACCTGGTATGGATGTTCTTCCACTGCTACTAGTATGGCTATTGTATGTTGTTGATTTTCATCCAGGTTTCTGAAATGTCGCCGGGCTCAATCAATAATACCAAACTTTTCGATGCCTGAAGTGCGACAACCTTTGCAGGGCTAATAAATCAAACTCTGTCAAAATCCGGGCATTTGCAGGAGGGGCAGAAACGGAAAGGCAGAAACGGAAGACGCAACTGCGGGGTTCTATCCATGACGGCAAGTCTCAAATCTGCATCTGGATTGTTTTGCTGGATGCCCCAGACAATATGTGGCATCGATGGTGTTGTTAGGAGGATGATTGCCAGAATGGATGTTGGTAGCGTGGACAGGCGCACAGCTGCCGCCTTTAGTGCCCACATCGCGACGTTGTTGATTCAGCTTTGGCCGACAGCAGAAGATGCCCCATTCCGAAGTTTGCAATGTTGCGGTTTGAATAGTGGCCCCTGCGCAGCCCCCCCCCCCCCGACCAAGAGTTTTGGCTTGACTAGTCTGGTGTCCGTGACCCTTCGGACCGGGGTCAGGGTCTGGGTGGCTTTGATGAAGTTACTCAGAAGGGAGTTGGGAGGTTCCGGGGTTTGGGGCTGGCTTCGGTGCAGCGTCTGCGGTTCTGCGCGAACGCGCGGTGGGGGTCTGCGGATCACCAAAAGCTCGAAACCAAGCTCCGATCACTCCAAGATAACTTCCAAGACTAAAAACCCTTCATTTTGAAGACCTCCAACCTACACTCCCTCCACAATCGACCACGTCTGAGGCCTGCTGCGGTACAGTGGTAGCGCAGACTAGTATAGCAATAGTACAGTAATCGTACAGTAGTCGTGCAGTAGTACAGTAGTAGGACCGTAGTCCTGCAGTAGTAGTACAGCAGTAGTACAGGAGTAGTACAGCAGTAGTACAGTAGTAGTACAATAGTAGTACAGTAGCACGATAGTAGTACAGTAGTAGTAGAGTAGTAGTACAGTAGTAGTACAGTGGTAGTACAATAGTAATACATCAGTAGTACAGTACGAGGGTTCAGGAGTACCGGAGCTGTTTAGCGGGGTTTGGGGATCACCAAAAGCTGAAAACGAAAACCCCGATCACTCCAAGATGTGCATCCTTCAAAGAACGGTCGGTTGGCTGGGGGTCTTGAAGGAGCTTGAAAGAATACTGGGCTGATCCGCAGCAGTTGCGTCTCGAGCATTCTCCTGCAAGGACCAGCTTAGAATTTTTACTCTCCATCCATGTTCGATTCCGAGCTGAGCGTTTTGCTTCTTGATTTGGATGAGAGTGTCCGGAACTGGTTACTTGCAGAGGGCGTCGAGAGCTGCTGTGATATACATTTCGGCTGGTCCACTGAAGACGATTTTTCTCAGGGCTTCATTGTGGGCAGACAGGTGGCAGCTGATCTTTCGAGCCTTGATAGGCTTTGGCGAGCGGCTGCGAGAATTGCTCGGGCAGAGTCATCTTCTTCTTCGAGTGTCTTGTGTGCTGAGCGTTTGTCGGTGCATTTGCCACTGCGCTCTCAGTCCCCATCTGATGCAGTGCATTCACAGCCTAAGCGGCGTCGAATCTTGGTGCCCTGGAGAGTTGCTCCATCTGTTGTGGCGCCAGTTGTGGCGGCCGCGAGCAGTCAGCAGCCAGAGTCGTTGCCGGATGACAAGTTGAAGAAGATTGTGGCGTTATTTCAGATTTGTGTATCACTGTTTCTGGACCTCAGCGAGGTTGGTTTCGGCACGTTGCAATGGCAAGATGCTGGAGCCGTTGAAGCAGCTGCGAGAGTGATCATGAAAGCAGCCTTTCGTTTGTCTGTGCAGAGGTTAGGTATGTTGGCTTCTACTTTGCGCCGTTGGATGCGATGGGCCAGCGACCACGCGGTGGAGCCTAGCCGGCCAGCTGCGGCTACTTTGGCTGCCTTTCTGCAGGATGTTAGCCTGGGCGGTCCTACTGCTGCGTCTTCTGTCTTTCAAGCTTTTCTGTGGACAAATCAGAATTTGGGTGCACAGTGGCCGTTGCAGCACTTCATGGTACAACCTTTCCGATTCCACGCTCAAGGGCATGCTACACAGCAGGCTGTGGAGCTGCACCCTTGGGAGTTTGTGAACTTGATTCGGATTGCGGCTTCGCTGACGGGTACGCCCCAGTTGCTCATGGCGTTTCTTATCCAGTCAGCTGCCTCTTGCATTCGCTTTGCGCACTTCCAGCGGTCGCATTTGGTGGCTGCTCATGAGACGTGGATGGAATTTGAGTGTGCTGAGGGCAAGAGCAGAACACAGGGTGTACGGCCGCCATACCGGTGGGCTACTCCTGTTGTGCGGTCGGGCGGCTTCAGCCTCCTGCCTTTGCTCAAGAGATTCTTTGCTGAAGTTTTGCTACCTGGCAGTACTTTCTTGTGGCCGGCCTTGGAGTTGCAGGCAGCCGATCTTTGGCAGGTGACGGAGGCTACTGGCCTTCTGCTGCATAAGAAGATGCCTCCTCGGGTATTCTTGGAGTTCATGCGGGGTGCTTTGCAGCGCTGTGGCGTGGCTCCAGAGATCGCTTCCAGTGCTACGTGCAACAAGCTGCGGCGATTTCTGCCTACGGGGGCCAATGTCTTGGGGCTTTCAGATTCTGAGGCCCAGGCTGTGGGTTCCTGGGTGGAGATGCCACGTGGGGGCCAGTCCCAGAAGGATCGTCAGAGGGCGGACTTGATGTCGGTGCGGTACTCTGGCCAGCGTGTTCTGAGCAGCGCCGGGGTCAAGGAGCGCATCCTCAAAGCGGTTTTGCTGCATCCATTGGCACAAGTTCATCCTGATCGATTGTTGGAGCCCCACTCCTTTATGTGGCACCATGTTACTTCGGGTCCAGTTGCTGATTCGAGGCCTGCTGCGGTGAGGGTGGATAGAGCAACTTCTTCTTCGAGTAGCTCGTCTTCTTCCGATAGTGGGTCTGAGGAACCCGACCAGAGTGTGTGGCCGGATGTTCAGGCGTTATCTTCTGCATCGTGGTTTGTGCAGGGTACTAAGATGCATGTTGTGCGAGAATTTTCGAGTGACGAGGGTAGGCCTATCCCGTGGTGTCGTGCGCGTGCTTTTGCACAAGTGCCGGCGCGCCAGGGTAGTGACTTGGCCTCGCGGGGATTGGATGCTCTGTGTTTGCGCTGTGCCGCCAGCCATGCGAGCGGCGATCCGCGAGCTGAAGAGCTCGCTTGCTTAAATCGTGCAGAAAGCTTTGGGCTGTTAGTGAGCTCTCTCGGAGGCTCCTTGAGTTGCGCTTTGATGTGTCTGCACTCGCCGCTTCCCCACCTTAAGCTGCCCGGTTCGGTTTAGGTGCCCCGGTTTAGGATCCCCTACGCTGTATCGTTGCTGAAGCTATGGCTGTCCAGCTCACAGAGGAGGACATTCGCCGTATGATTGCGGCATGGTCTCCCGAGATGCGCTTGGCCTTCTACCGCGTGCTGCGGTCATTTGTGGAGCCAGGGGAAGCCTTTGTGCCTGAGAGCGATCACCGCCAGTCTATGTCATCATCCGGAAATGCTGCCCCGGCTACTTCGGCTGGTACGCCGATGCGGCGTGCGGGCTTCTGGTGTGGGATCCCTTGTGAGTGCTGCGATGGTGTGGGCACTTGCAATCGCTCTGGGCCGCACTCGCATCACTCCTGTTTGACGTGCCGAAGGATCCAGCAGGACAGCCGGCAGCAACGCCATGCGTGGCGAGGGTGATTGTGTGCTA